CGTTGCTCGAAAGAAGAGAGAGGCAGTGTAATGCCTTGTCTATGTGACTATCTGGCATTTGGTGGTCACTTTAGGAGTTGTCTGGCCCCTGTACACGTGGGCTGGACTTCGGGCCATGCTCAGGTCAAGTTGCTCTGTTCTCTTTGGAATACTTGTGTCCAGGTCTCGGGCCGCTACTACTTTGAAGCACGGGTCTTAATAAAAAACACAAATCCGCATAAATTACTACTTAAATGCGAAATTTGGCATTCTGGCGCTTATTGCAATTGCAGGTCTTTGATTATCATAAAAATTATTAGAACTCCATTTTTTGCGGAGATAAAGATCCAATTATATGCTATTTAATTCGACAAGAGTTAATGTTGAAAAGCAATTTTCCTTTTAAGTGTGAGGACAAACACCTTTGTTTATATTCTCCATTTGAAGGTTGGTGTAAACGTATTTTCGTACGCGCTACTTTAAGCGGATGTTGACGTAAAATGTGGAGTGTTTGGACTGAGAAAGAGATCGAAGAAGAAACTTGGACTGCTGATGGGAGTTTAGTTGATCGTAGAAAATCTATGAAGGCGTTTAAGCAACTTAAAAAGGGAATTTTATCAAATTTATCCAAATAGTTTTGCTCCTGTTAAATCAACCACTATATGCACCCATTCTATGTAGTACAAGTAGCTCATATCATACGTGTTAAAAAAAATGGTAAGATTAATGGATTTTATATAAATTGGGTGGCTGTACTTCCTTGTCGAATACCGACGTTATCAAGTTAGACCATAAAGTGATTTCTATCTAGATCTTCTGCTATATTTTGACGGTCAGAGATGGTCTACAGTTTCGGTGGTCGAAAAGTTTTGGCTTTTTTATCAGTGTTTTGCCCTATTGCAGATACCCAAAGGGAAGAAACTTTTCGAAGATCCGGAAGACTATCTTATTGTTGAATGTTTTCCTGGTTTTAAAGAAAACTTGCGTCCCATTGACACGGTAAAGAATCCGATCATCTTCCTAAAACAACCTGAATGGAAAGAAATTTTTGAGGCTTTTGAATCTGTACCAGGAAAGTCAAGATGTAATTTCGACCAAATATGCATGGATATTTTAACAGTTGTTATTAAAGATAAGTGAGTATATACGACCAAACACTAATTTTTCAGAGCGTTACCTCCTCCATGGATGCACATGCATCCTCAAGTCAGAAATAAAAAGGGTGATATAACTTATTTATTTAACCCGAACGGAAAGTATTCTTTTAAATTATTCGTCATGGGGACCTGGAGACGAATAAATGTCGATGACCGCTTCCCAATCAACGAAAGTTCACAGCAAGTTCTGCCTTGGCTCAAGTCCAACGAGTTGTGGCTACCACTCCTCTGCAAAGCCCTTCTAAAAGTCGCTGTCATTGAGTAAATTCAATTCGTCTCTGATTAGCGCTAATCTCAGGTCTCTAAAATCCTTTTCTCCTTTCACTTGTTTAACTGGATGGCCATCTCAGGAAATAGAACTTAGGTATGAAAAGCTTGTATTGCCCACAATCTACGTAGCTATCACCTGGTTACGGAAACATGGAGCCTTTTGAAGTCTCTCCTACCTGAGTGGAAAAGGCCTGATAGTGAAAATCAAAAGAATAATATGGAACTGGAAGGGCGAGAAAATTCTACCTCTGTTGTGCTTGTTGAAGTGAAGAAGAAAAAGGACGTCCAGTTTTGTGAAAACACGGTAACCTTTAGAAGAAAAGAAGTTATTTACTTCAAGTTAACGTGAATTTTGAAACTAGTGGTTCTCTTATACAGATCTTTTAGTATTTCTGAGGATGCAATTCAGCGTCAACACCACAAATATCAGCCTTAATACTAATTAATCAAATTAATAATCAAATTAGTTCTTCTTGGTGTAGAGAATTGCAGTCGCTTGAAAAATCAACTATTTTTGCAAAAACTACACTAAAATCATTATAGTGTTTTATCATTCATACAGGTGGGCGCTGAGATTTTTCTTTTCCAATTCACATAGAGGAGTGTAATGGAGGCGAACTTCATGGCCAAACTAGACACAACACCACAAAAAGCTTTGTTACAGTCTCAACGACAGCAGCTTCTCGTTAGCCCTAAAGATCTCCCGACCGTTCCAGCATGGAAGAAGGTACGTGGACCTCCGAAAAGTTTAAAGAAGGATGAAGAAAAGGAACCAGTAAGATCAGTCCTCGTGCAACTACTGAAAATAGGAAACTCTGGGTAAGATGGTTTAGCAATTTGGGAGTGTAGTGCTATAAAATGTTGTTTACCTGCTTTTGAGTTAGGCTGGGACTTGCGGGATGGAAATTTCAGCACTGTATATTAAGAGTAGTAGCAGAACGGACTTTGACATTGAGTCGCTTGGTAGTGACTCCAAATGGGGAGTGTGTGTCAAAACAAAGGCCATGACTGACTTAAACGTTACGTTTTTTGCAAGATTTAGTCTCGACCAGACAGACAGTAGAGGAAATATCAAAGAAAGCAAGCCAAATCAGCGACACTTACTTCATTCTCTCGTCAGTGGGCTCTAATGACTTTTTGCATTTGCAGCGGCGACAATGAAGTGGCAAAATTAAGTACAGAGAAGACTGCCGGTGCCGCTCAAGAAACTGTTAGTTTTAGCAATTTTTTGTTCTTCGATTACATTGAAACCTCATTTAAGCTAGTCATTAAGAATGGTAGCGGAAGGAGGGTGTGCCTCATAGCCAACATCATCATGCTAAGCTCAACCAAAACATCCACATTTTTAAAGTAATGATTTTTTAACGTTGTAGAGAGCCCGAGAAACCACAAAGATTAGTGAGTATTTAACGATCAGTGCAGCTGTCAATACTTTTTCGTTTTCCACGTCTTTTCAATACCATTTTAGGTGGCTGGTTTGACATCAAAGATATGTGCGAATTCTTCGAGTAAGTGTCACTTTGATGTAGACCTCTTACAAATTTTTTTGCCCAACATAACCGTGAGTTTTCCTTTTTCGCTAGCAAACTTCAAGTTTTTTACAACCCCAGGAACTTGACACTTCTTGAAACACTCACAGTGGTTAATGTAAGTGCAATTAATTGAATTGCTTAGCAAGCTTTTTAAAGAATACTGGAAGAGAAATTGTAGCGGCTGAAGAGAACTACCTCTTTGTGGACAGTCTGGATGACATTGAAGTGCTCATTGATTTTCACTTCACCGAAAGCAGAATCCTGGGTAAGAAGACCACTACCTGAAGCCATACACGAATAAGCACTCATACAATGAATGAATAAGTGAACTCTTGCCATGCTAGAGAGCTGGTCGATTTTATTCCTCCGACATGAATCCAACATTCAGACAACCAAACCGAAGAGCTCAATTGACGCTTCGACTAGGGGAGCGATCCCCTCTTGCTGTCTTTAACTCATTCTGTTCTGCTAAGTCAGTCGTTTTAAACTAACAAAGATCATGTCGCAGGTAGTCTTGCTGGTGGACTCGTGTAGACAGGTCGAAGCTGAACAAAAACAGTCTCACAATAACTGAGGTACTAAGTAGAATTGCTGTTTAATTGTAAAATTATGGTTACATTTTATACACTTGCCGACTCTCTCGAAGGCAGTTTAGTCTGCGCAATTAAAGTTTATTCCACTTGCGCCCTAACCTTAATTGGCATCACAGAAGCGTGGAAGGCAGAGCGGATTACCGATAACTCTTAGCTGTCCGAGCGATATCGTTTGAGTGGTTGTAAGATTTCAACTGGATTTAAGAGTAACCCCCTACATTTTCTCTTATTAAGACATGCTTGGAGTCAGGTGGTCAATTACAAGGAGGCAAAAGTCGGTCATTCAAGCCAAACCTGTCTGATCATTGTGGCAGAAGCGAAATTTGGGTCTCACTCGTACCATTCAAGAATAATTTACCTACCTACTCACATCCCACTTCCTGCGACATGCTTTTATGAGTTTTAAATGTCTGTTTGCACCAACTTATGCATTTAGGGGGTCACTCGGATGACAACGAACATTTTTATCACATTTTAACCACCAATACTCTGTGGTCCTGCCAAGCAGCTCGCAAAGAATGTGGCAATTAGGACACATACTATTCTGTTAATCACAAACTTGTACATCTGTTGATAAGAGCGGATGGCATTCTTTCACCCATTTACTTGCTTCATGCCACTTTTGCATTGGTTAGAACCAAATCAGATCGCTCCGAATCACAATTAACTTAACGGTCCTGTATTAAGAGCTTGGTAGAAAACTGGACATCACGAAATAATTAATAGAAATGGTGGAAACAACATTTCGTTTGCTAGTAAGTAGTTGACAACGTTATTAGGACGGTAATAATGCAATTAGTGGGGATAGCTTTGGGCGGACATCCTGTTTGCAGTGGATAAATGCGTATATTCTTTCATAAAGGTGAATTAAATACAACGGCCAGAATCGAACCCACCGATTGGCTGTCACCGCATCGGCATCCACCAATCGCGACACTGCCAGCCGATAATCTCCAATCATTGAGCTTGAGGTTGTCACGAGGCCGCCACTGCTATCGCATCTTCCTTGAAACCCCACTGGCCGCTTCCTTAACTCTCTTCGTCCCATATGCCAATCGGGAAAGGACGACCTTTGTACTTGGGCCGATGGAAATCTGCTTGCAGGAGGCAGCAAGAGCACCCCTACAAAAGGTTCACAATGGTCGTCAACTTATTGGCAAATTTTGTGACATTGCACGAGGCTTCATTGATGCGGTTGAAAAGAATGAATCAACGGCGGATTGCTACTTAAACTCCAGAGATTCTTTCGCAACTTTTTCGGAAAAAATTTTCCTTCAGAAGTCAGTGGGAACTCTTCAAAGGGTAAGAATAAAAGAAGCCGGTAACCAGCAAGTTAATGTTGTAAGCATTAATTCCCAGTGCTTCTGCTTTTAACAAGAGATCACCAACTTCTCATTCTATGGCAGAAACAGAAAGCCTTCCTCTTCCTAGGTGATTCGCCAAAATATAGCAAGATTGATTTCAAAGCACAGTGCCAACAAAGTGCTAACCGAAATTTCAGACGCTAAATTTGGTTGGAAAGTCATGGTCCTTGATCCAGAAGATGAACTTCAAGTGGACAATATCAGAGGTAGTTTGGGAACTCTTTCTTAGACGAATTCAACCCAGTTTAACTCATTATAGTAAATTAAAATCTTATGGATTGTGCTATAAGTATTTTTAAATTAAAATTTGGAATTAGATGAAAGTTCAGTCGCAGCTCAGAAGACTTCCCATAGTGTTTGCTTTTGAGCCATTGATGTCCATCACCATTTACAATGCTTCACAAAATCAAGGCACGGCAAAAAGCATAGTGCAAATGGACCTATACGTAGCTACTGTCTATGGCACACCAAAAAAGCGCATGAACTTCGTTTTTTTCTGACAAACCCTAACAAGCTATTTCACTCAATTTTACCGGAACATAGACGACATATTCTGTCCACCTAACATTCCATTTTTTTTACTTGAAGATGAATCGCTGTCAACGAAGGCGTTTGGGTAAGGGAAATTCTCCCTTTGTTTTTTAAAGCAATACCTTTAGCTGCAAAGATGACAATGAATTGACACATTCAGCGTTACGAGGAATTGTCGCCTACCAGGCTCTCTTCCGAGGTCACTTTACCAGACGGATCTTAAGAGTCGCCAACTTCCCTCTCTCTCAAGGTAATACTTGGGTCCGCTACGCATTATGGTTTTATCTCCTACGGATTTCCGTCTCTGCCTTACATTCTAGGATTAGACAACAAACTTAGTTAACAATACTTACACCGAAATGAGGAATATACAAAAGTGTGCTTCTTTTCTGTAAGAATTGCTTGATCGATGCTTGACAAACTTCCAGGGCGACTCACCTCATTTCGTCAGCTGAACTGTGGTGTCAGCTTGTAACGTGCTCTTCACGCCTCGGAGCATGTCCAAATTGTCGGAGAGACGTGGTCCTAGCTGGGGCTTGTTGCTGAAAGGTGTGCATAGTGCTGCAGGTGGCGAGATTTAGTGAACTTGGCTGAAGAAAGGGGATGATCTTAGTAACGTCACCTTGTCGTCTCTTTTCCCGAGGCTTTTGCAAATCATGGTTGGGTAGGAAGGTAATGAGAACGAATTGGCGTCCGCTCTAAATGATGTCATTTTTAAAAGTAATTTACCTACTGTAAACCTATCTAGTCCGGCTTTTTTGGTCCAGAATAAAATCATTGTTTATATTTACTAAGGTGGTTACATCCTTGCATACATCTGATTACGTTATTACCAAATTATAGACAGAGAGATATCACCAGACATCCAACGTACCGTCAGGGGGCTGAAGTATCTTCTAGACTGTCTCAATGAGGCGACAGACTCAGAGAAGGTAACTCTCCTTCAAAGTATCCAACGCCAACTTGGATGTCCCTATTTGCCCAGTGATGCAAATTTCTTCACTTTGCGAATGCAAGCAGGCAACTTTTCAGAAGTCTCAGTTAAATCTGTTGGATGCATATGGTGTGCGCCCGCAAATTACGTCCAATCAGACAGTAGGAAGCAGTGTTTAAGTCCGATTTTCCATCAAAAGATTCATGTTCCTGAGGGGTCGGCGCGAATTCGGTTCCATATAGAAAGCGATGAAGGAGTTGCACAAGTTACTGCTATTGACAACGATTCAGGTAGGTAAAAAGTAGGTAATGACTTGAAATGCTATAGGGTGTGCAGTCGAATCAAAGAAAGGATGTTATCTAAACCTTGGGGTGAATAGGCTCGGTTACTGCCTAGTTGCCTACGTCCTCTCGGAAGATAGCGTCAATTCCAATTCGAGGTGGCGATTTTCTTGCCTTTATGAGGGTTGGAGAGAAATAAATTTCTCCAATGTGCATTCAACTTTTGCATTCTGGGAGGCCAACGGAGTGTTGGAAGCCGATGAAGACGGTCTGCTCTGTCGGTTCTCGTTAGATGTGAGTTCTCTTTCAATCTGCCGATCACTTTAGTCTGACAGAGTGCTTTTCAGTGTTCACTGGTCAGTGATACATCTGTTGGATGGGAGAGTGAGGACCATTCACCGAAAAGATATTTCTTTCGAAAATACTGCAACTTCCTTTGTGTCAAACTCTCGCTAGAAAGACTTCGATAACAAAAATGCGCATTTTGAGTTGTCAGAAAGTGTTAAAGTTGGATACTTCTTGACCGCCATTTCGCATTATTGAAGTCTGGAACAGGGTATTTCAAAATGGTATCAGATTGGGGTTCAGATTTGAGTTGACACTTTATCATGTCAAAACTTCAGTGGATTTGATTATATGGTGCCAGGTGGTTTTGCCGTGAGCTAAGTACATACCTAGTGACTAATAACACAGTTTACATTTTCCTTTTGAAAGAATTAGGAAAAAATGAATGGTTATGAAAGGACTCAAAAAAACAGGCGGTGGATAGCAAAATCCCACAATATTTGAGGTTGCTAAACCTTAGCGGAGAAGGTCCGGTAAGGCTGATGAGCTACCGAAAGAAACGCATGTGATTTAGATGACAATTAGGCGTGAAATATGGTCAAATGCATTTGAACTTGACAGCATAGAGGAAGTAGATACCTTAGCAAGCAAAATGTCATTGGAAACTGCCGTTTCATTCAAGCTGGCTTGAGATTTGCGGAGTTTTGAGTAAACCCAGACTTAACTGTCTTTTAGGTTATGCTTCGTCAAGTCGTAAGCGTGATCTTGAATATTAGCGGTTCCACCACCCCTGCACGGCTAATTCTGCGGTCCAAAGATGGAAACGAACTTGCCAATGCCCATGAAGAATCAGGAGGGATGCATGTGATGCCAGGCCTCCTTCTTGGACCGGACTCGAAGTTGGAAGATGGCGGTTACACTATGAAATGCAAATTTTTGAGTGCGAGCCTCGAAAATCAAGAGGGTGCTGAATCTTCAACATCATCGGAACGGTCGCATAATCAGGATGAATGCAAAGAGCTGAGTATAGAGGTAAACTGCTTTGAAGGTGGTTTGGCCAGATTTTGAAAGAGACCCTGCTCAAACTGATTAAAAGCAAGTAAATACGCCATTTTTATACTTACGAACTGAGAAAGGGGAAGCTCAGATGAATTCTTATGCAAGCATTTACTTGAGTCGAATAATCATCAAGATCAAGCCACTAAAAGATACTTGAACATATCGATGGTTGAAGGATTGGTCAATCACCTAATTACAGTTTCGACCCAAGAAAATGCTTAGCATGAAGGAAATTGGTTCTCCATCCGAAGATTGATCACTCCATCCACTCATTCAGTTATTTTACTAATTTACCTCACATTTACTCGCTCACCCATTAGCATTTAGATTTCCTCGGTCTCCCTTCCAATCTTCCTTTTGCTCCATCCTGTTACCACTCACAAAATACTATCCACATTTCACATTTCAGTCGTTTATGTACAGCCTCGATCAACTTTGGTTGAATATGTGGGTGCATGAAATGTAGAGTGTAATCGAAACAAATCGCCTCTCAAAGGAATCCAAACCATTCCGCTGGGTTCTATGGTCTGCACCTCGCACATCATTAAATCCGCGCCACCGTTGTATCACAATAGGGTGACAATACGCCTTGCTGCCTGTCGATAGAAGATTTCAACCGTAAAATAGAACCTCCCGGAGTTGAATGATCATGTGCGTCCTTGTTCGTAGTGGTCTAGATCTCTTTCATGCCCAACTGTCCTTTGATCGTGTGATTACTCAATGAAAGTGTCAGGCGGCTGTCCCTTTCCAGACATCTGATCAAGGTATAACTAACAGCTGCGTGGTGAAAGTGTCTGAGGACTGAACCGTGCAGTTGGAATGGAAGCATTCACAAGCAAGTGCAATCTCGCATAGGAGATGCGCAGTGAGCATCCAGACAACTTCCCACTTTCGACCACCGCATTGAACTGCAAATGCAAGATTCATCCATTCCGATTCTCAAAAAGGTTCACGAGAGATACAAGTTCTGGCGTTACTGATGTAATGGAAGTATTTTAATCAAGTTGCTTTGAGCTTCCGTTCTTTAAATTAGGCCTCAGTTCATGGGCTCAAACTGTTCCATAAGACGATGGAGAATACTAATTCGAGAGAGAATATCTTTCTACTACTTCAAAAAGCACCTAGTTTTCGCCATCAAACTGACCCTGTGTAGTTCTTTTGTAGACAAAGACTGACACGGGCTGCGGCTACATTCTTGAGGCCTACGTGAAGGGGAGTGAACTGCACCTAGCAGAGGAGGAAGTGTCGATGATGGCGGCAATAAAGAAGGCGAGAATGAACGAAATGAGAGGTATCCGATTGACAGGAGATTGTCAACTTTAGTATCGAGCATTTTTAAGGTAAAATGAAGGGGAATGTTTTTGCAGCATGGTAGAAAATTTTCCATTGATTAGTTGGTCTATGTTTCAAAAATAAAATAAAAAATTAGGAGTTCATCTAATTGAATAAAGATGATTCCTTATGTGTTCGTGAATTGTATAGCCATGCCTCAAGTTGGAAATTGTGGGTAACGCATATTTTTTTTTACAAAAGCGTGACCTCAAACAGGGGAGGTCGTCGTTTTTCATAGGGAAAATTAAGATAAAATAGAAATTCCCTAAAATAATGCTGCAATCATTAGGCTCAAGCATCTACTTTTACGATCATTTTTGCTTCCCTTCTGCCTCACCGAGTCTCGAAGATTTTATTTTAAAACACTTCAATACAGTAAGATTTTTGCATCAACTAATCAAATTTTAACTTAAGGTTTGTGTTAAACGAGGTTTTTCTAAGTTTGTACACCGCCGAATTAGCACTTTGAGACTACCCCGGTGAATAAGGAAAAAGGAAATTAAGAAAGTGCTGGCGTGGGCGAGAGGCCATTTCGCCTGTCAGAAGTGGAAGACGTAAACGTTGAATTCTCACCTAACCAAAGTAAAGCATTAAACAAACATTTTTTCACAACATTTCTGTCCTCTTGAGTACTGTCCCCTACGCTGCCTTTGGTCAACCTTTCAACTCAATATAGTTGGCACTGTCAGAAGATCACCCGCCAGCCACCTGCGCTAATCATCATATCAGGGTGCAGTTGAGAAACTACCGCACCTCTGAGCCTCTGACCTCTCCATCCACCTTCATCAGAAGCACGATTCTATTTCAATTCGGAAATCGCATCAAGAAAAGGGTGATTATTGTAGCTATCTTGGTTACCGTGACAGCATAGACCGCTTTGAAGCACTTACTCAGCCGATGTGGAGGTGAAGCAGGGGCTGTGTTCAGAGGATTAAAATCTGCAAGAAACTTTACTCATTGTTTCGTGGCTGGCTGATATTGTTGTTACAGAATACAAGACAGGCCTAACTAACTATCGAAAGCAGGCATCGTTTTTAACCGACCTGTCGGAAAGTCGTTTCATATTTAAGCCTCCCATTCGACGGTATGAGTCGGAATAGCGGCCTGTGATATCTACTCCCAGGATAAATACTTAAGAATTACTAGAGAACGTTGAATTAGAGCTGGAGAGGGCATATTGTTTAACGTAAGTACAATTACTCATCCTCCGGTGTCCACAAAACCTCAACACGGCGTTGAATGAACAATCAAAGTGTTGCATAGGATTGTGATTTCTAGAGTGAATCAGTGTGACGAAATTTCAACTTATCTCTGCATCCACTTGGGGATAACAGCAGCCGTCCTTTCAAAATTAACCATCACTTACTTTGCAGCTTTGGTTTTAGAGCAAGAAATGTGTTTTAAGGATAAGTCTCGTCATAAAAGAGACTTGTAGTTTAAAAATGCATCGGTTCCTCAGCCACGTAAGAAGCCCAGGAAAGTAAAGTCATTCAGTTGGACCTGTAATAATGTGGCGATTTCAACAATGACCTTTGCGACTGCAAATTTCCAAAAGTTGATTAATTTTCAATTTTTCGCTATTGTGACGCAAGAAAGAAAAAGATTGGAACAGAGCTTTGGCATTGTGTCAGTTTAAAATCAAAGGTGTCTATGACATCTGTATTTAGTGGACTACGAGGAGAAATCGTGTGCAGGAACAAGTGACCCAGACTTGCACAAAGCAAAGGCTAGAGGTGGTCCAGTCAAAAAAGTTCTCGCGAAGGAGCACCAAACCCTTCCAAGCTGGACGTGTAGAGTCTATTTTGATGCATTGAATCCTGTAAGTCATTCTCCTTTCCTAATAAGAACAGTTTATAGGACAGCAACATTCTCACGGTTTCCTGTCCCATCTAAAGGATTTAACCCTTTGTGTTTGTCAATAGCAAAATTGTTTGCGAACTATTATTTCACAAAATGATTAATCTTCTGTCCAGCTTTGCCCACAACTGTGCTGGCCTCGCTTTGGTCAAACGCTCGAGGCAGCTGCCTCACTCGTCTATCAAGGGGTAAATGGTACTAAGAGACGGTTGCACTGCGACCCAGCCATGAAAAGACTAGCAGAGTATGTCATTTTACCTCTGGGAGATTTGCGCCATTGTGGTGCCCTATTGATGGACTAATATGCATGGCATTACCCTACCTGAGTGTGCTGATAGTGGTTTTCGGGTGTGAGGAGACAACCCCTTTGAATTGGAAGTTGATTTTACACACGGTGATATTGCATCCGTGCGCACAGCCGTAGCCATAGATGACTGGGTTTATGCTAAAGAATTGGAAGGCGGAATGAACTTTTTTTCAATCGGACCAGTGCACAACATGCTTGCCGTTTATTAAGGCTCGTTATGAGATGGATAGTCATTCATTCATGTCTTATTACTTGGGGTTGAACAATACGCACACGAGTTTAATGAGAGAAGACCCAAATCCAGAGTAGATTCGACCTTCAAGACTATGGCCTGACTCAATCAAATTCATTCATTGTATAAACCAATTCTCTATCATTGAGAACTAACTTAACTGTTTCAAGGAGTCAGTTTCCCTCAAGCCTTATGGACTAACACCTGCGGAACTGAGGGCAGCAAAGAGGTCATGGCTTGGTGAAAATCCAAGCCTTCGTTTGGAGGAAGCTCAAATGTTGCGCCAGGCCTACATTCTCACTGAAAATGAGAGCGACTTGATCAAAACGGTCAGCCTCGCTGCTGATGGTACAGGTACCCCATTTTTGTGCTTTAACCTGACTCTAAGCCATCATCGTGATGTTTCTTGCTTTGAACATTAGGAAAGGCTGATTTCTGCATTCCAGAGGTCGATGAAGATGAAAACGCGGAACTGGTGGAACTTTTAAGTTGTACCTACACCGAGGAACATCAAAATGCTTTAAAAGCATCACCAGATACAAATGGAACTAGCTTAATGCATTGCAATGAAGAGAATATTCAGAAAGAAATATGGGGTTTGGTGCATTTGGCTGAAGAAAATCAAGTAGAGCGCTTTTTGGAAAAAAACTTTATCATTGTTTTAGACTTAATTGGATTTGCTGATGCATCTAAAATGACGTCTACCACATTTTAGAGTCGTAAAATGGAGATGCGAAAGTTGCTAACTCGAGGATAAGATGAGAAAATGAAGACCCATATACCCACAATTTTATGTTACAACTGCCTTTAATTGCGTCTTTTCACCCATTTTGGTTTAATTAAAGTTGTACTTGATTCTTCAAGGATTTGTACAACTGTGTTAAGGCATATTAACAAAAAAGGTAAATTGGGATCCGTCAACACAGAGACGGATTGAGAGGCTTGAAGACAGGAGCATCGGACTAAAACGGCCAAACTAAGTTCTCACGCACTCAGGTTCTCCTTTGAGCACTGTCTTCTGCCTCCCTAATGACAGCGCGATTGCTGAGTTTAAAATACTAATTCTCAGATCAGGAGATAAAGGTCCAAATGTTTCATTTGGACAGTGATGCACCTTACTGGTACCACTCACCTTCAAGTTTTATTTTATATGTGATCAGAACCGAGAATAGTGAATTTAGTAAGGACGATTCCTAATTTAGCTGCTTCACGGAATTGCGCATCCCAACCTTCTGCTTGGTTCTGGGCTGATTAGTTATACTTCTAGATTATTTAAATTAAGCCTAGTATGTATATCAATATCAGAATTTAACAATGAA